AGGGGGGGGGGGGGGGGGGGGGGGGTGCATTTGTCCACCGGATCGGAGGAGTTTTCGAATTTGGACAGCCCCCGGCGTGGCGCAGTGACGTAAGCCATCCCTGAGATTGGACACAGCCCTCATTAGTTTTAGACATGATTTTTTGCAAATTGTTGCCGTGGGAACTTGAAGCGCCACTACTAAAAATAAACGCACTCGTCTCGTGATGGAGCCAGTTTGTGCTTTCTTTCGTTCGGACCACATTAAAGCTACGGAACACGGGCCACAAACAGAACCTCAAAATGTTGTATTATCTTGTCTTGCAGAACAAAATCTGCGTTCGATGCCAAAATGCAAAAAGCGAGCAAGTCGACGGAGTTCCGTGTGCCGCTGTCTGTCTGCACCATGTTCAACATCCTGATGGATGCTAAGAAGCAGTGCTCCAAACTCTGTGTGCTGGACTGCAGTCAGGAGGTAAACCCTGTCACATCCCAGCCTCGGCTCCTTCACTTTTTAAACTAGAGCTCCTCACAGCTCCTTACGTAGTGTTATGTTGGTGCTGATAGGAAACATGTTGTAATGCATTACTTTAAAACAGCAGAGCAGAATAACCTGTTGGTTGTACATCTTAGTTCTACACTAAAGAGTTTCCAAATGAAACCAACTGTGTTTTATTTTCAGCTTCAGATCCACCAGGTTGAGCTGCAAACTGTCAGATCAGCCACTAAAACCTCTCTTTCTGCAGACACACAGGAAAGAAGCGTTCAGAGCATGTGTTGACTTGTAGCAGCTAAATGTTGCACATGACCTGATGAAGGAGTGACTGTGAAGTTTGTGAGAGAGTGACCTCAGCATCTGTAAGAGCTAAACCCTTGGCTGCCTGCAGTCATGTCAGAGAGCTCAGCTGGCTGTTCTCTTAACCTTCTGCTTCTGCACTTCTACCATTTCTTCTAGCTGGAAGAAACTCTGTTAGACTGGAAAAAGACTGCTTGTGGATTTTAAAAAGAAACAAGTTTATTGTAACTACAATCAAGTGTAAGAAAATATAAAACAGAGTAATCACAGAGCTAACGTTTCATTAATCATTAAACTATACGGCTGTGAGATTTGTTAGGAACATGAAGCAGGTGTTAATGAGCCTCAGCTACTACCACACTGAGTTTAATATCTGTAACATTAGTTATTAATGTTGAATAGATGTTGTGACAAACAATAATAATTAACAAAGATGAACCTTCAGACTAAAGAAAACTAACCAAAATAAGCAGATCAGTTGGTACAAAATGTTTTTTACTACTAATTTTGTTGCTTTCATTGATTAAAGGTTTCAACAGTGAAATATAGATAATGTGACAACAGGAGAAAAAAAGGGCAAACACAACTAAAAAAAAGAACATTTGTTATGTAAAAAAATCTTGTATTGTGTCAGGAGAAAAGAAGTTATAGTATTTTATAAAATGCATAAATAGAAAATCTGCACCGTTTTTTTTTTTTAATTTTTTTTTTTTGTCTTTTAACTTCAGAGTTGTAAAATGATTCATTTAAGTCCTTCTTAGTTTCTAAACCAAAAAAACTTTAGTTCAACATTTTGCTGCCAGGATGAAACCCATTCAGCATAAAAAGTCCAATATTTAAATAACTTTGACAGATAAATGTCCAGTCTTTGACTGAGAAATGAATCATTTTCAGTAGTTTTCTAAAGGATACAATCTTCTTTTAGCTGTTTTTACATATGTAGTTTTAAAAGCGTCAGTGTTGGATTTTAAATGTGTTAATGTTGATATTTCATGTTTGTTACAAAGTGTCACAGAGTCACTGCTCTGCTACTATTTATTCTGATGTATGTCTCATATGACGAGAACAGGGGAAAACTACAAGTTGTTGAAGTTTGTTTCTTGTTCAGCATCTCAGCTCCTCGTGTTGACATGTTTTTATGTTTGATATAAGACTGTCATTTCAAATGAATAATACAGATAAATTATCGTATCGTAACTCAGAACATCTGTCATTTTTGTTTGTTTTTCTGTCCTGTCTCATGTCCATCTGTCCTCACATCATTATTTGAACATCAGACAGACAAACAGTGGGTAAGTTCCTCCATTTCCTCATTCCTCCTATCACACTTTCACTAAATACATACTGTATACTGTCACTGTAAGTTAAGCGTGTCTTTTTAAGACTACACTGTCTGATGCTGTTTTTAGACTAAAGTTTAAGTCACATGAATTAAATTTATCAGTATGTCACCGTTCAAGATAAATGTTACAAAAAGCTTCATATTAAAAAAAACAGAAAAGAGACACAAAATATCCAGTTAAAATAAAAACGAAAGTAGTAAGCTAAAATATAACATAAAAGCAGCAAAAACACTAGTCTAAAAGATGAGTTTTCAGCTGTTTTCTAAACAAATCCATTATTATTATTATTAATATGACCCCCGCACGTGAAGCATAAGCGGGAGTCATATTGTTTTCGTACTGTTTATTTTATTTTTTTCAGTGATATTTGGTCAACTGTAGCACAAAAACTGCTGCACCGGGCAACATGAAATTTGGCAGGACTGTAGTTGAGTCCGACCTAAACTGCACCAGCCAACGGTTTTACGATACACCCCATATTTGAGGAGGGGGCTCCTTTCAAAGAGGGGGTGTCTGGACATGCAAAATGCTTATAAATCAGAAACTCTTCAACATAGAAGTTTCAGATTTTTTTTTGTTGTTTAGCTCTGATGAAGCTCTATCCATCAGGTCCCCCACCCCCCGGACCCCCAATTTATCTGATCAAGGGGTGTCTGACATGCAAAAATGCTTATAACTCAGAAACTGTTCAACATGGGAGCTTCAGATTTTTTTGGTTGTTTAGGTCTGATGAATTTCTATCCATCAGGCCCACGAATCAATGCCTCCCCCACCCCACACGGACCCCCAATTTAGCTGAAAAAGGGGTATCTGGACATAAAAAATGGTTATAGCTCAAAAATGATTAAATATAGGAGCTTCAGATTTCTTTTGTTGTTTAGCTCTGATGAGGGGCTATCCATCAGGTCCAACATGCCCCCCCCTCCCCCACACC